CGGTCGCGCATGGCCATGGACTTGCGGAGCTTGCGCTTAGACCAGAAGCGGTAGAAGACGATGCCGTAGATGGCAATGACTAGAACTTCGATTACGACTTCGATGATGCAGCAAACGAGAGCCCAGTTCTGATGAAGCGTTAGTATTCATTCTCCGTTGCCACCATGAAGAGTGTGCTTACCTGAAGACGGCAAACAAGGCCGTAGGCGATATCGTCCTCGAAGAGATGTCGTCGCTTGTTGTCAACGCAGGACCAACCCCACATGTCTTTGTTGTTGTTCTGCGCTTTGCTTTGGTTGAATACGGCTGCACCAACACCCCACATGACGATGCTAAAGATGAAGAATCCAACAGCAAAGACAGTGTAGTATGCCGCAACCTTTTCAGCTCGATGGTGACCTCCTCTCCAGTAGGCGATGATGACAAAGATAGACATGACGAGGGAGACGCAGGCGATGGACAGCAGAAGAATCTGAGGCCAGACCTTGGTGTTGTCGGCCCATGGTGGAAGGTTGTTCCTTGGTGCGAGGTTCTTTGTGGCGTTGAAGATGGCAAAGGCACTGGCGACCATGGCAAGGACGATGAGCGAGCAGGCAAAGTTGATGCCCCGTAGGAAGATCTTTGCTAGTCGAACGCGAACCTTGATTTTCTATGCATTATTAGCAACTGCATGTGACTGAAAGACTGACTGAAGACTTACCAAATCCTTTGCTTGCTCCTTGTCGGTCATGGCTTCCCGCTTCTCAAGCTGATGCTCTTCCCGGAAGGTAGGGCTCATGATTGACATTGCGCCGGCCGGCGTCCGGGGCGGAGCGCCAGGCGACTTCAATGCACTCTTGAGTGGGGTTTTGGGGGTTGGTGGAGGAAGGTACCTCCGATCGGTTTCTTCCATCTCGACGGATTGCATGTAGCCGAAGCCTGTGTCTGCGATCTGGGGTTGCGGCTTGTAGTGGTTGGTTGGGTACTCGATGGGCGACCGAGGAGGATCAACCGGCGAGTAGACTGATGTTGCTTCGGCGAAGCGTGCTGCGCGTGGAGTCCTGACGTCGAGGGAGTCTTTGGAGCTTCGTCGTTCAATCGTGATCTGGGTAATCTTTTTATCGTTGGCGGCCATTCTAAGAGAATCCAAGGTTCACTCGAGGAAGCTGGAGGCTTTCATGTAGTGAGACGGGAGAGAGAGGTAGAAATGTAAGACAGGACGACGACGACCAAAATCCAGGCCAGCTTAGACCAGTCGCAAGAGGGTAAGAGAGACAAATGATAAAAGACGCACGACGTATTACAATAAGAGACCTGCTGGAGAAAAGACGAGGTCTAGCAATGGGCGAAGCGCTGGGCTTTTAGGCTCAGGGCGCTTCGAGGAGGGAAGAGTCGAGGATTGGATAGTGGGGAGCACGGATGGTAGCAGGTGGAGAAGGTTGCGATGGGAAAGCGGGCGGGTACTTACAACGTTCTAAATGTATGGCGCCTAGAGGAAGGCTGCTGGGAGTACTGCAGGTGGGCGTCTGATAGGCTGGGTGGGGAGACGAGCTGGATGCCAATGGCGCGCAGAGCGAGGAGGGGAGTGGTGGCCCAGAAATAGACGCCCGGATGAAGTCGATAGACGATTTGCAAACGACGCGCATCCAGACCTGGACACTGCAGCGCGAAGAGCTTGGTTTAAGGGCAAATCTGACAGGGTGCTTATGCCGTCAGTCAGCGTGGCAATGGCAGTTTTCCTCGCAGGGCCGTTGGATGGGTCAGTTGTGCGTGTCTGCTCTTGCGCCTCCAGACGTTGTGAGGGCCGTCCGAGGTATAGGTAAAACGAGGAACAAAGCCATGCCCACGCCTCGTGCCCTCGGGAGCGAACTCTGTCCAGCGAGCTGGCGTCGCGGTCGGCAGGGCATTAAGTGGCTGACGTCCAATGAATGCAAGACGTTTGACGCCTGCAAAACGCGACATGGTGGTTGTCGCCGGTGAGTGGTTGAAGGGTGCAGGGCCTGTGCATCACGCAGAGTGGGCGCTAGGGCGGATTAAGCGTGCGGGAAGCGCGCAGCAAACTCAGACGACCAATGGCGGCGGGAAGGAGCCTCCAAGACGAGAGGGAAGGCGCCGCCCCGCTCTGATAGCGGCCCACCTCTCGTCGAGTCCAAGGGCGACATCGAGTCCCGACAAGACAGCAGCACGACACCACGGCACCTGCGTGTCTCCGATCCGCCTTCAAGGACTCGAATAAAGGATCCGCACGCCCGCTCGCACTTCATCAGCAGCCCATCTGGATCAATCCAAGAAGCCTTGGCTGTAAGCAGCTATCAATGCCGCTGTCGTGATGTGAGCGCTGCTGCATTGTGCGCCCAGGGTCTGCTGCACGACCAGGCACAACGCATGCTAAACCCCCTCGGATCGACTCACTAGCCTCCGACCATGATATTTACCTGGATATCGTCGGCCCTCTAGCTGCCTTGAGGTAGTTTTGTTTCGTTTCTTGCTGCACGGTTATTTTCGTCCATGGCTGCATCGTGGGGTAGTACGAGACCATGGCAATGATGCGCCAGGCTGCTAATAGGGAAACATCCTTCTTAGCAGTGGCGCGTTCGCATCTCTCATGAGGCCACGTTGGTCTTGGTCAGTGGGCCGTCGCGTGAGTTGACGGGAGGATGGAGACTGCCATGAGTTGCGCCTGTTCCCGCCCGTGCCTCATCACCTACGCCCCAGGGCCCGTCCCACTATGCAGACGATGCTGATGAAGTTCGCAGTTATCGGTCTCGGCTCACTCGTAGTCAAGACACCAACGCCCTTCCATGAACATCACGAGTACAAACCCGGGCTAAAGCTCTGCAATCTTCGCAATCGACACAGCCCAAAACTTGTCCCATCTCCAGTCGCTTCATCGTGTTCCTCGTCCCAGCCTGCAGGCGCCTGCATTTGCCACTCCTCCTCCATCATGCTAAATTTTACCAGCCTCCCATCTTCACCACCCTAATAATACCCCATCTCATGCATATCCTCGTTCCCATGCCCATAATTTACTACACTGGGACCATCCGTTCTCCGCCTGATGCACGGCGGGTGATCAGCCGGGGCCAAAACGGTCAGGCAACCCGTTTCGAAACTATTTTACCCTCTTTTAGCCTTCCAAAAACTCTGGCAGCACGTGGCCTGTGCGAGCAACTCCATAATCCTCCGCCTCCAGCTCGGATAGACTGTGCAATGTCAGAATATCTCACTCTAGTAGTCAATACAGCCATCTGGTACCGGCATCCTTCACATTTAATTCTGCATGCAACTATTTAGAGACTGCAGCACGCGACGCCGTTCCACATCTGCCTAAGAATACGAGACCAAGTCCTAAGTAAGCTTCCCACGCTCCTTCATACTTTAGTCCATTTCCAAGCAGTGTGAACAGCTTCTGCGTCATACACGTGTATATCACTATCACTAGATGTTTGCATAGGGCTTGAGTTGGTACAGAGGTGATGATGCAAGGCTATTGAATACACTACAAGGCCAGTGCCGTCATTACCGTTCAGGCATTGCTTCCGAAACTTCTCCGCTGCCGCGGCTGCCGTTTAAGCATTTGTTTAGGAGCTTCTCCACCACCCCGGTTTGCAAACAACGTCATTCTCCGGAGTCAAAGGCACGACCGCTACTACCTTGGTGCCCACGGCCTGACTTCATCAGCATTCTCCCCTTCGTTACTGAAGAGGCGACACATTGCTAGTAATCAAGTTCAGGGAGGGTAAAGTAGCTGCCACGAACAGCTCTTAAGATATCTTGCTAACTTATTACAAGTATGTAGCTCCCTTGCTATGCATTGCTAACGGGGTGCTAAGACATCTTACTATTCGTGCTAACAGCTTGACAGACAAAACTCGTATAATGGCATCTTGTACGTGTGCCTTCGCCAGCAACTGGCAGGTATATTCAGTGGATATCTGACAAGTGGCAAGTCTTGTATTCTACCAAAACAGGCAGCAAAAGCACATACTCGCTCCCAGACGGCCTCAACGCCGATGACATCCTCCAGATCCTGCACAATCATTCTCTGCTATCCCAGATATTCTGGCCACACTCATCTGCCACGGTCCGCATCCAGCCAAGTTCCATGTCAAACGTGTCCAATTTTCTCGTTGGGCAGCATGGGTCGGAATACAAAGCGACCCTGTGTAGCCAGCCAGATGGGGTGGTGTGCACCGAAGAAATGCCGCTAGGACTCAAGGCCACAATCACTTATGCGGTAGTTGATCGCGATCGACTTGCCAAACAGCAGATCGCGCGTAGCGAAGAAAGCGAAGCAGGCTCGACTTCGAGCTTCGTCAATACGTCCAACTCGTCCACCACACCGTTGGATCACCAACACTACCTGCTCGAGGAGATAGCAGCAACTGCTTTCAAACCAATCGCTTCTTTCATCAGGATAGGGCAAAACAAGCTCATTCCCAAGACAGAGAATCTAGTGAAGGTGTTGGAGCATCTAGGTGGGCCGCAGAAGGATCTCATTGCTGCGTTGTCGGAGTTGAATGGCATCAGAACACATGTAGATGCCGATATTTCGCTGGACAAGGCAGAGGATGGATAGCATGTCGCTCTATATCCGCAGGTACACTTGCCAAGCGCGCGAAGTACGAGGACGTATTTTACCAACGGCGATCTCGACTTTGTTGACTGCTTCAACGACTCGCAAGACACCTGTCTGCTCAATACTGATTCGGACTACCAGCAAATGTATAGGGATGTGCAGTATTACTACCCGCGTCTTATCAATTTCGGGCTGCGTGGTGGTCTTTCGCGGGGATGCGAGTTGAAGGGTTGCCTCGGTGTGAGAAGTGTAGATGATACAAGTGAAGGAGGAATATAGTATGATATAAATACAAGCACGTCTTAATGCTTGCTCAAAAGCTATGCACAGTGAGATGATCGGAATATGACTAAATAGAAAATAGTACAACGGAAGCGTCATCCGGCCTTCCACGACAGGAGTGATGCGAAGGAGTGCCTTATTAGTCCTTCAAAGCCCCAAGTTAAGGTTCAGATGACTTCTTATCTCTGCCTAATATCTTACCACAGAACAACGGTTCAGGATACAGGTCCTCTTCATCGTCGCTTGACGAGTTTTGTTCACTGACCTGATACCTATCCAGTCCATCGTCTACCCTACCCTGGCACGCAAAGCTGATACCCGAAAGTGTCTTCTTTCTCCCTGAGTGTACGCTGTCTAGTATCTCCATAGCAGTTTGCTTCAACGACTTACCGGTCTTCAACGTTGGTCCTACGACCTTGTCGTGCCAGTGTGTCGAGTGAGCGTCGTCGTTCGCATCTACGTTTGCTTTCCCTCGACCGTTGTGCTTGCTCTTAGCAGGACTGAGATGGAACCCAGGGAGATGAAAAGCTCGAGGTGAGGGTCGGCCAGTTTCTCTAGTCTTCTCATGGACGTAAGACGGCTGGGAGAAGGGTACGTCAGTGTGGGTTATGGGAAGGGGAAGTTCAGCTGTAGGTCCCGCAATTCTACCGCGTTCTACAGTTACGTTGACTGTGGTTTCTTGGATTAGTTCTATTAGTGGGACAGGACGTGAGATCTTGGACTTCAAAGATTGAGGTGCTCTGGAGGGCGAATGTTTCCACCATGAGTTGGACTCTTCTTTCTCAGCGGGCTGCTGGAAATTTACAAATGGCACGTCTTTAGCTCTTCGTACCTTCGGTGCTGTGTCTATTCTTGGGAAGGGAGGGTGAGCGTTGCTCACACCAACTATTGATCCAACTGTTCTTTCAGCGGTTATCGATGGTCCATAGATTGAGCTCGAGAAGCCAGAATCTCTACGCGCATCTGGCCTATCGGGTATGTTTACTTTGTTACTGTTATCAGTATGAGACGTCCGCGGCCGCAGCGGTGGGAAGAGAACTCCATCAGGACTTGTTGGGGGTGGAAGAGGACAAGGCGGTCGCCTTTCGATCTTCACCTTCGCCATGGTTTCGGGAGGCTTGATATCAGAGGGCTCATTACAAGCTTTCCTATGGCCAAGTGTCTGCTGGTACGCTTCCCAAACCTTCTGTCCCTCACCCTTTGGGCCTGCAGTGTAGATGTTCTTAGCTGTGCGGTACCAATGAGTCGGACCAGAAATAGCTTGCTTGTGATCACGTTTTTGCTTCCGGGTTGTAGCTTGAACCGTATCAGATGGTTCATCCAAAATCTGGTTCTTCCGCATGCGCTTTGTTCCTTGCTCAGGCCGTACTGTTGATGCTGAACAGCGAGGAAGGACGGCCGAGTCTGACATCTTCCAGGTCTGTTCAAGCTTCGAGAAGTCGAGAAGTCTTGGTGCTACTACAGGGCTTTCCTGGTATGATACCTTCGTATGGATTGCAGAAGGCTTTGAAGATAGTGATGGTGGTTTTGTCTCGTATGTCATCGATGACGACACACACGTCTCGGCGGGCCCGTCATTTGAGTCGCTGAGTAAACTGAACTTGTAATGGTTGGGCTGTGTTGGCCGCTGCTCAGTGTCAAGGTTCTGTTTGACTACCATCGAAGGGCCGGCTGTGACCCATTTCGTACCCCTCGTGTTTCGTCGCATGCGGTGTTCATTCTTGGTAAATGGATTGATGACTGTTCGCGGGTTAGCCATGGCGAAATGAGCTTTGAAGTTTTATGACCTCGCTTTCGGCGACTAACGGGAGGGCACTTCTAATTTTACGGTGTGGACGTAGTCGCTAAGGTAGTGAGCAGTGGTTACGCAAGAAGGGTAGCGGAGACGTGACGTGGAGTGAGAGAATACGCGCGCACCGGAACGACAATGCATACAGCACTCTTGAATGAAGTCAAACATCGTATTTCGAGTCACAGTACAGGCGTGTGAGACAAAGCGTTACAAGATAGAACAGCGCTCCAGACTATACAGGCCTTGTTCTGAGCGCTCCAGACGACTGAACAAAGCAATTCACCTCTTACATCCTTCGCAGACTCTTTTGCCTCATGACATCATGAGTAGGTTACCTTTTTTGTAAAAGCATTGTCGCGCAAGGCAGGTCAGACCAGTGACAGCATCTGACGCTAGTAGCAGTGTGAACCCAGAACATGTTAAGAGTGAAAGCAATGAGAGAGACGACGCATCGTGATGCCCTGGAGCCTTGCCAAAAAGCCTTCTCGAGAGGTACCAGACATAGCCCAGCAGCTAAGGTAACACCAAGCACCACGAAAAATGAATGGTGAGTGAACGCATGGAGATTGAACGTGAAGTTTTTGCCATTAAACGCTATCATGGAAGCGCCCCAGTATATACGACTGAGCGCAAGGAGATTCGTGAAAAAGGAAAAGGAAAAGAAGTTACTCCTATGAGCACTCTACGCAGCCAACCTCAATACCCTCAATCACCAGAGGCTTACTGTACTCACTTGGGACATTGCTCATCCCCATATCGACATCCTTCACACTGCCCGTCTCACTCTGTGTCTCGCTACCAAGCGCAGAATCGCTCTTACGCCTCCTAGCCTCAGTCTCTTCTTCAATGTACGCGTACTCGTTCCTCCAATCACACAACATCTTGCTCGTGACGTTGCTACCGCCACAAAGCACAATGACGACCTTGTCTTCTGGACGGACTGGGCGGCCGAGGGCCTTCTCGAGTCGTCCGTCATAGCAGAGAGCGACGTTAATACCGCAGGCGAGCTCTACCATGATGCGCTCGTCGTCTGCGAGGCGCCAGCAGCCCATTGCTGCTTCTGCGTCGGGTAGAACGATGCTTCGAACGTTGCCTCGCTGAGCGTATTTGAAGGTTGCGTCTGTTACGCGGGCGCAGCCTAGACTTGTTGCTTGTGATGTGATCTTGGGTAGCGTTATGAGTTCCTTGGCTTGCAGCGCTGCGTTGAGACTCTCGGCGCCAGCAGTCTCCATGGCGAGGATGGTTGTCTTACTCATTTGGTGTTTATCCATAGACTGGCAGATACCGTTGATTAGGCCGCCGCCGCCGACAGAGCAGATCAGTACGTCTGGCTCGCCTGGGAGTTGAGCCGCGATCTCGTCCATGCAGGTGCTGTTGCCTTGCCAGATGTCTGGGTGATCAAAGGGTGGGCAGTAGATGGTCGAAGTTTGTGCCTGATGGATGCGTCAGTGTCTCAGTCAAATTGTATACCTGGAGAGGACCGTACGTAGGGCATTACATGCTCCTTGAGATACGTGTCTGCATCTTTCCAAGCTGCACCGTATTGGATAACCTCGTACGCGCCCGCTGCTCGTAGTTTGGCAACCATCAAAGGTGCTGTGGCGGTGGGTACAACGACAGTGCACGGTAAGTTGAGAGCGCGAGCAGAGTGGACGGCAGCGAGACCTGCATTGCCACCGCTGGATGCGAATATGTGAGGGCGCGAGCCTTCTGGGAGTTCTGCGAGACGACGGAGGATGTAGTTGCCAATTCCTCTGGTAGACGAATCAGTACGCTATTGAGTAGCGGCTGAAGGGATTGATGCTTACCGTGACTTGAATGATCCAGAAGGTTGGAGATTTTCCAGCTTGAGAAAGATTCTGCTTCTACGATTTAGAATTCCCTTTTCTTGAAGATGGGACCATGTTGTGACGTGAAAGTGAGGAGAGGGGGTAAGGTGAGAGGGAGTGTGACCGTACCATCCCGCTGCTTCAGACAGCGCGTACGACTCTCTCAGCGGAGTCTGAACCCATGGGTTTTGCTGGGGCGCCTCGTCGATGTAGCACTCCTTGACGGCCATGATGAAAGTAGGGAAAGGATTGGGGTATCACAGAATTGTATTAGAAGCAAGTGTAAGATGAGAAGTAGACGAAGAGCTCGATGTTTGGTGTTCAGAAACGCTTTGTTTGGTCGAAGTCTAAGGGTACAAGAGCCACTCCTTTATCTCTACCATGATGGCTTATCGCTCCGCAAGCACCCGCAACCCTAGTGTCCAGGTCATGGAGCCAGAGGGGTAAAGGCAGCACTGTGGCACACCGAATCCACGATGTGTTGTATCGATTACCCTATAAAGTGCATAAATTACCCTATAGATTCTCGATAAGGAACAAGCGACCACGCTGCGACTGCAAAATGACACAAGCATGAGACCGGTACGCAGCAGCTTGGGCCAGGGTTTGGATTTCCAGAAGCGGTTATCAACGGCGGGACCATTTTCTGCCAGGGTTTGCCGCCTCCAAACAGTGGTGGACTTGGCGCGGCCTTGCCTATCAGAGGACGCGCATCAGTTGTCTGTGCGGGTGATGAGTCCAGAAGGCGCGGAGCCGATAACGACTCGGCGAGACGGTGAAGACGGGGTTGGCTGGGAGGCTGATGTTAGGATGACATGACGGCTGCGGGATTGGCGCGAGCGATCCCCGACGGAAAGGAAAACTCTCGCACATGAGTGGAAGACGCGTCCATGCTCCCATCACGATGCAACTTTCCTGCGATAGCTATCGACGTTTCAGACAGGGCTTCCCCAGAACGAAAACTGCATGCGGACGTCGGAACAGATCATGCGGATCCGCAGACCATGTTGAAAACGCTAGTTGGGTATCTCTGTAATGCTTCTCAAGTTTACGCTAATCATGGGGTTTACGCAGCAACCTTTGGTTGATCGAGGAGGCCTTTCCTAAAGTTCCAGTAGTTTGCTCGGATCGGATCGTACTTTGTCGCCAACAGCTCCAGGGCTTTCTCCGCATTTTCTTTGCTGTTCTCTTCTTCCGCATAGATGTCGGCTAGGAGATCAAGAGCGTGGCTTGAGTGGACGTCGTCTGGCCTCTGCACATCAGCGAATTCACCCGCGAAGTCCTTGAGGGTCGACTTGGGAAGTTCCGCTGCGCGAATGATACCCAAGACATAGTTCCATGGGCTCTGGTTCTGGGGCGCTTTCCGGATGGCTGCTTTGGTGTACCTATGGGGTTAGTATCGTCGAGCAGCTTGGGGCGATAACGGACATACTCTATCTCCCGATTCACAAGATCTGCGTTTGGCTTCTCCTCTCTACCGCCAACGACTAGGTAGTAGCGATGGTTCCAGGCAGAGTTGTTGCGCACATCTTCCTCGATCATGCTGTGTGTCCACTCGAGCTCTTCGGGCTTGTCAAAGAGATCGAAGCGCTTGACCAGCCATTGCCTGTAACTCCACACATGGTAGTTCTTGGAGTCCAATTCCAACATGGAGTTTATGAACTCTGGTTCGCCCTCGCATGAGCCGAGCTCGTCGATGATGGTGTGTCGGTGGTGCCAGATCTGGTAGTTCTTGAGGTGCTTCAGTGCGGTCGGGTTGAGCCATGCGATTTCATCCTTCAGTGATCGACCAATCTCAGAGATGGTTTTGGCGCGGTAGAGCCTGCGGGGGGTTAGCAGGGTGGTTGTTGGAGAGCTCCCTGTGCGACTGCTGGTAGGCATTGTCTCCTCCGAAACTCCGCAACTTGACCGAGCATACGACGTACCAGACAGTGTAGTGCGCGGGGTTCATGCTGATGATGTGCTCCGTGAGGCCGAGCACCCGCTCGCTGAACTCGTTCTTTGCCATGACGGCGCGCAGGTAGCCCATGGCCTCGCTGTACTCCTCCGTGTATGCGATGGCAGCGAGCGGATGCAGGCCGCCGTCATCCTGGGGAAGTGGCTCAATGTCCGCCCATGCCTCGTCGTCGTGGTAGTATTTCGGCATTCTTTCCCTGACGCCTTTTGCCTTGGGGTTGGTGGGATATGCGCTCGCAGGTAGCAATGCGCGCAGCAGGCGATATGGCGACAGGAAGATGGTCTCGAGCCAGGCGCGAATGAAGTTGAAGGCCATAGTGGGGTGCGAGCTTATGTCCGCTGCTTGGCAGAAAACCAACGGTTGCCATGCTCTTTTCAACCGTGTTCGCAGAACAATAGCAAGCCATTTGCACATGCATCAGACGCCCTCTCCACGCTTCCCATTTGTGTAGCCCTCCAGTCGCACGATAGTACGCCCAAAGTCCTTGGTGTGGCACCCGTATCCGCCTGCGAATAAGGGTGCCCCTTCCGGGAATCTGAACTACCACTCTAGCACCAGAAGCCATGTGCGATGAACAATACTAAGACACCACAATGTAGCTGGGGCTCACTGACATGCAGTCGCCGATGTAGTCTGCAAGGAGGCCTGCAGGCGAACCAAGTGTGTGCATTGGAGCATGATTGATTCCTCAGATGAGGCAGGCGTGACTGGTGGTCATAGGACATCCATCGCAGCAGCTCCTGCACTGGACGCATTTCCAGATGCACTTTCCCCAGCAACAATCCACTCGCGCTTTCTCCCACGTCAGCAGATAGCAGATACGCCGTTGCCAG